AGAATTTTTTTTTTTTCCGAGAAATTATTTCTTCTTCCGAGAATTTTTTTTTTCGAGAAATTCTTATTCTTTTCCGAAAAATTATTTTTCCGAGAAATTTGGTTTCCGAGAATTTTTTTCCGTTCCGAGAATTCTTTTTCCGAGAATTTTTTTTTACCTTGTTTAATTGTTAAATGTCTGCATTTTGATAATTTCGCGATTCTTTTTCCGAAACTGTCCCTCTACACTTTCACTGCGTAGGTCTGCAAATTCCGTTCTTTTTTTTCAAAAAAAAAAAAGGCATTTTTTTCTGTTTGCAACCTACTCCTACTCTGAGTTCTAAAGACCCTTCTTTTCTGATTCTCTGCAGTCTGAGCACCGAAGGTTCACATTTGCTTTCTGCATCACCTCCGGTACTCAGTGGGATTGAACAGACTTTTTCCGAATTTTAAAGTTTTGTTTTTCTTCTTTTTGATTAGGAAACTGTTCAAATTGGGCTCTGTCCGATCCTTCCCACTTGTCTACTTCCTACCTATTCCTCCCCCTCCAGTCCGGGTACTGGGCCAGTCCATCAGATTGGCCCTCGGGTGACTCTTCCGACTGCGGGCACAGCAGTGCATGACACTGCTCACTCGATCACAGACCAAGGCCATGGACCGGAAGGCGGGAGAATCCCTTCTGGCCTATGAGGAACGCCTGGCGGCATTCATTCAGGAGGCCAACGATAGGGCCGCCGCCACGGCGAAGAAACGTAATCGGCTCGAACAAGAGGAGGAGGCCAATCGACAGAAGGAGGAACAGGACCGACTTCGTCAGGAAGAGGTAGACCTGCAGGCGGCAGCCGAACACCGGTCACGCCAGCGGGATCGACTGTTCACGCGGGAGACCGTCATCGGCGATGAGGCCGCACATTGGGTGGAAGTGACATCTGCAGACGGGGACCCGGAGACTGAGAAAGGCTGTTAGCCCTTGCGCAGGTCTCCCACGACCTCGTGGCCACCTGCGCTCTGCAGCAAGAGGAAATCCTTCACCTGCAGCAGACAGTGGACCAGATGCTCGCACGGCCGCAGGCGTTGGAGAAACAGCCAGCTGCTATAGCAGCCGCAGGGCCTTCCACCCTTACCACCCGTGTGCAAGTTTTGGAGGATGACGTCAGCAACATCAAGCGTGTGCATCAGGACTTCCGGACGTCGCAGCAAGCAACGAACTTGCAGTTGGAGACGCGGGTCCAGGCTGCTGCCACCGTGATGCCCGCCGCCGCATCCTCCCGGCGCCCACCCAAGCCGGATGACATTCCCGTCTTCTGCGATCAGTCCAAGACGGAACCGATCCCGTGGTGGCGCCAGTTTACTCTCAGGCTCGACATGCACCATGTCCCGAACAACGATCGACATCCGTGCTTGTACCACCGACCTGGTGGTAAGTGTCAAGCATGGCTAGACAACATCTTGACCAGCCACGGCATAGCAGTGTCGGAACTGCACACCAAGCTCACTTGGCAGGAGTTGGCTGGCGCCTGGCACAAGCGATTCCAAGTGGAGCCGCCCGACTTGCAAGTGATGGACAAGCTCTACAAGCTTCATCAGAACACGCTACTCAGTTAGGACTGGATTACCGAGTTCCAAAGACTCGCCTCCACACCTGACCTGCCGCTTGCTTTCCGCGCCGTTAAGCACTTGTTTATCATGCGCTCATGTCCAGCTCTGCAAAATGCGCTGACGCAGATTGCAGAGACACTCGACACATCCGACAAACTTTCCAGCACTGCGTCACGGATCATTCTCACGAATATCGAAGCCCGCAACGCCGGTCGATCTTCCGCGACGACGAGCGGCACCCAGCCCAAGCCAGAGGTGGCTTGCATTACTTCTACCGAGGCTGCAACACCAAACGAGGGTGAAGTGTTTGCAGCTGCCCAGGATGGTGGCCGGCTGCGCAACAATCACGGCTGCGACAAGACGAAGACTTTGTCCACCTCTACACCGAGCACCGGATCAGCCGCCGATGAACCTTGGGCACAATACAGACTCTCGGCGAATTCTTATCGCACGAGACTCAAGTGTCGTTACTGCCTTTGGTGCAACATTACCATCCACGATGCTGCACATTGCCCCACCAAGGGGAAACCCCGTCAAGGAAAGTAGGCGCCGTCGAGGGTGACTCGACACCTCCCTCGACGCCATCGGAAGCGTTTGTGCGCACGACCGCCCTTTCTTCCGAGGCATATGCGGATGTCGGGAGTCTTCCACTTTCGTTCGAAGACTTCGCTGCCCGGCTCGTTCCTTCACTGGATGCTTCTCAAGGACAAGATACATGTGCGGCTTTCTCACCGTCCGAAGGTTCTTCCGCCAGTTCGTCTTCATCAAGGGATTC